AGCTTTAGCCAGTGCTGTGTGCAGGAAACAAGTGGGGGGAGTGCAGCCTACCCAGCTGCCCCTATCACCAGGGCTCTGCGCTGTGTACCTGTAGCTCCCACACTCACAGTGGGGAAAGCCCCATGCTGGACTCTGCACTAGTGTGCAGCACTGGCCAGAGCTGTGCCCCACCAGGTGCCTGCACTGGGCATGAGTGCCCTGACCTCCCTGCCTGTTGCTGCTGCCAGCAGCCGGGGCTGTATGCCATGGGTTGAGTGTGTGGGGGTCCCTACACCCCCCACCTCACACCCACACCCTGCCCAGCTGAGCTCTGTGTTCCCACCGCCCCCCTGGGTGCAGCCTCCACACTGTGCTCTGTACTTCAGCCCACCTACAACTCCACCACCCGACCAGCCCTGCCTCTTTCCTATCTGCTGCCCTGAGTGAATTGGATTTCCAGGAAGCCAAGCAGGTTCCCATGGGGCAGCTGCAGCAGGAGCCCCACCCAGAAGCTACTGCTGGTTGGGCAGGGCCCTTCCACCCAAGAGGGTGGGAGCAAGGCTCAATAGGGTATGTTGGAGGTGTGTACATGTGTGCACCTCACTCCCAGACTTCCGGGGGGAAGAGGGGCACAATTCTTTGGATGGTGCCATGGGTCAGATGAAAGTGCCTGGTGGCCTGGATGTGGCTTGTGGGCCATATTTTGCCCACTCCTGGACTAAATGATGGAGGATATAGGCAATGCAAGATACATAACCAACCTAGACTTAACCAAAGGCTACTTGCAGATACCTGAGGACTGTACCACTTCCAGACCTTACTTTTTTTAGCTATATACAGTCCTGGCATACTTCCAACAATTAATGGACAAAATATTCTGCCCACAATGGGTGTATGTAGCCATGTAGCTAGAAGATGTGGTAATATTTGCAAACACATGGACACCCTACCTCTAGCTGGGCACAGTTGGATGTACAGCTTGGCTCACAGCCAGTCTGGGAAAATGTCACCTGGGATACACAGAAACCAAATACCTGGGGTATATATTGGGCAATGGCAAAATCAGGGCCCTGGTTGACAAGGCAATGGCCTTGACAGTTGCCAGTGCCAATGACAAGCAACTGAAGTAATTTCTAGACTTAGAGTTTATCATTGGCAGTTCATCCTACAGTTTGCTAACATCACAGCCCCACTAATGGACCTGTATACATGCCATTCTGTGTCTAAGCAGGAAGTTGCTTTCCTTGGAGCAAAAGTATACTATAATAGAAAAGGAGTTTTGGGCAAATAAATGGGCAGTGGAGACTTAACAGGGCACTTAGGGCACCTGTTACTTTAAGAAGAAAAAGGCTGCAGTGAGGGCTTAATCAGCAATAAGGGGAGACACCTGAGTAGAAGGGGGCCAGGTTTAGGTTTTATATAAGCCCAGGGCCTGAACTGGGAAAGTAGTTTAGCTCTAGAAGCTGATGCTAGAGTTGCTTCTGAGCATGCTACAAAGAGAAATCACTGAGGGATACCCAGACCGACAGTTTAGGGTAGGATGGAAGGGAGGTGGAGGTCCTAGAAATTAGTGGTTAGGGGGGGACTATGGAGAGGTGAAGCCAGAGGCCTGGAAGTAAGGCTGGAGCCCAGGAATAGGGCAGAGGAAGGACAGAGAGGAGCTGAACTGGATGGATCTGGAGAGCCCAGGGCCCAGGGATAGACAGAGAGAGAGATATGGACTGCAGCTGAGGGCCCATTAGGTTGATTGAGGCTAGGGCTGAGAGCCCGTGGAGCTTACTGATGGTAACTGATTAATTGGTAACATCTGTGAGGCTTGGGAATGGCTAAAATGGGAAATGAGGAAGCCACAGAATTAACCCTTAAGGAAACAAGTAATTAGAGTAAATGAGATCTAGCTCAGGGATCCCTGGCATAGCTTCCCATTCCTAAATACATATTAACATATGTATTTATATACATCAAGACATGACAGCAAGCAGAAGGGGAGGATGCTTAAAAATCAGGAGGAAACAGTACTTTTAAGTAGCCACCAGGGAGTATCACAGCCAGGCCTGAGGATGGCCTTTGTTACACAAACCCTTTATTACTACCATCTCCTAAGGCCTCTTTTCCAGTTGGTCATGGGCCATGTCCCAGTAACATGAGGTAGACTGACCCCCTGATGATGAGATGGTAGGTGTCCCTGAAGCCTTTTGACTTTACCTGGGGTCGGCACATGCAAATGCATATTTCTTCTGAGAACGGGTTCTGGGGGGATAAAGAAATGGAAGAGTGCTCCACTCCTTGGAGGGTGGGAGGGTGGGGAGTGAAGCAGGGTGCCTATCTCAGGAGCTACAGCCAAGCAGCAGGCAGTGAGAAAGAGATTACATGCTTTTCTGGGAGGATTGGGCCAACTGATGAGGATGATTAGCTGGTCCAGAGGAAGTTAAAACTACCAGGGATGGGAGAGAGCGGGAAGGCTGTAAGGCTAGAGGTGGCACCATCAAGCCAGGGTACTCTCTTAGGGTCTGGGAAGAGACCAGAGGGTTTGGTTAACTCTTTATTGTTTTGTACTTGGTGTTGATGATTTATGGTTTATGTTAATGTTTTCCTGTGGGAGAAGTTTGCCCAGGGAAAATAAAGACTGTGTTGTACAAATTGACAACCCACTACCCTGGACTTTCTGATTTTCATGGACATTGTCAGTATTTAGCACTAGGAACTTCATTTCCATTTACTATATCAAAGTTTCTGGTGTACAGTTTGAAAATATTGCCACAATGGAGCAAGTAAGCTGTCCTCTAAAAAGACAGCCTTTCTATAGGTGAAACTGGCTTGTGTGGAAAAGTCTGGGTTTAAGTAGTAAAAAGTCTTTGTGCTAGTCTAATAATTTGAGTTCTGCTATTCTCAAATTCTTCAATTATTCTTTCAGTCAGAGTAGGTTGAATAATCTGTGTTTGTTCTAGAACAGCACTAAGGTTCTGGTGTAATAGTGGCAGCTCTGTAATCTGTTCACATTGGTTAGTACATCCATAAAGCAGAACTTATCAACACTGCTCAGTCTACCCTTGAAAACACTTGCATATAACCTTGTAGTAACAAGGGAGGCACTATTTTGTGAATGCAGACTTGATAAATAGAAGCAATAACTGAGAACTTCTTTCTGACAGTCATAGGGGACTGGAAGAAAACATAGGTTTAGTAGACCCTGTCCTCCTCCAATTTTGACCTGCTTGCTGCTATGCCCCTCTAATACTTATAAAGATGACCCATACATGCTTTCTCTTGGGAGACTTCCAACACTTCCGGAATATTTTCACTATGCAGCCTACATTTTCCCTTTCTCTTTGTCCCTGTCATACAATGCTAAATGTCTCTAAGTCTTTTGTTTACATGTTTTGGTTATATTTATACAAACAGTACACATCTAGGGGTTTTTTGGCCTTAATTTTTAACAGATAATCCAGACTTTATAGTCCCTTCATTTTTTTAATACTTCCTGCAGGATCTTTTCTAGTTTGTCTCCATTTCTTTGGAAGGAACTGGGGGCAGTATCCCAGGTACAGCTTCCAAGTTACAGAAGAAAGCCATTATTGTTCTATAACTTAGGGCACTTTTACATGTGCTCCAGGAGTTGGGGGGTGCAGGGCGGCACTTTAATTAGAGTGGCTCTAAGAGCCACTCTAATTAAAATGCCACAGCATCTTATGTATTAGCATCCCTGTGCTTCAAAATGGCAGTGGGGATGCTTGAATTAAAGGTTGTTTGAGTGCCCCCACATTGCCATTTGGAAGCACGGGGACACTGATACACAAGACGCAGGAGGCTGCTGGAGCATGGTAATTGCCACACTCCAGAAGACCTGATTAAATGAGTCTTCTCTGATGTGCTGTAATTACAGTGTGTCAGAACAGCCTCTGTGCTTATGTACAAGCACCCTTAATGCTTGTTTATGAGGCCCCAAATTGCTTGGGAACATTAGCATTCAAGGTGACAGTCCACCACCATTGGTGATCTAGATACTATTTCCATACAGTTATCTAAGCCAGTGGTGTCCAACTTGTGGCCTGCAAGGGGCTAATTTATGGCTTCTGGGCTCACACCTGGTCCCCATTTCTCCAGCTGCAGCAGAACCCAGGGTCTCTGGGCTTCCCCTCCCTCCTATGGGTTTTGCTTCCTGACTCTGTTCCAGGGGGGTATCTGCCTGTGACACCTAGGGGTCATGGCTGGTGTGCCTGCGGGGCACATGCAGTGCTGAGAGAGGCCCTATGGCATAGAGAAGTGGGGGTCATGTGGTCCACGCATCCCACTGGTGGAGCCTACATGGAGTGTGGCCCCTGCCTGCTTGAAGTTATACAGCCCTTGTCTAGGCTGTACAACTAGTGGACCATTAGACAGCCAGTTAGTAATAGAATTTCACGCATAGCACATATATATGGGCCTTTTAAATAGTTAATTGTGCTAACAGTTTGATCCAGGGAGGACAGAAAACACTTTGTTCTAATCTGTGGGGGAGATTTATTTTGTAATCCAGTAACTACAGATTAGGATTTGTTGCTGCAGTTCATAATTTTCTTACAGTATAGTGATTGCATACATGCCAAATCAAGTTACTTCCTCCATGATGGCTACATGTGGGAATTTGGCTCATATTCAATTTATGCATTCACAGCTGTGAGGCATATTAAATTCATGGTGTCAGATGTCTCCTGAATGCAGTATACTCTCCACTCCTGCTTTCCCAGCATAATCCTCAGTTAGGCATGGGAACCACATTCAGGTGTCTCTTTATTCTCAATGAAAGATTGACAAAGGCTTCCCCATTTCTCAGAAGTACATTAGTTAAGTTGTCATAAGGCTCAAGCCATACAAAAATGGAGTTGAGATTCAGTCTGACTAGTGGATCAGACCTCTGGATAATGCATATATACCGCCAAAACTGATGCCAGGAACAGGACTAGCTGTGGGAGGAGGCAAACAGGAAAAAGGCTATTGTGGTTACTGTTTGTAAGAAAAGCTTCTCTTGTTTTTTATTTCAGGTGATATTTGAATCTGTCTCTTTGAAAGGACATCCAGGGTACATAGCCGTGGATGAAGTCAGAGTCCTTGCCCATCCTTGCCGTAAGCACATGTCCTTTTTCTTTCTATGGCAACATACTATATCAGGCTTTGTGGGCGAAAGAAGCAATTCGCACAACTCAGTCATCTCTGAAACATCTTCACATATCTTTCCAAAATGCTTACTGAGTAAAGACAATCAGCCTTGAATAAATATATCATTCTGCAAGTTGTGCAACTGGCAAAACTGCTAAGAATCTGCAGCTAGTGAAAAGGTGTTTGCCTGGAGCTCTGTCTGTTGTTAAAGGCATATAAAGCTCGGATTATCTGTTAACTCTGAATCATACGATTGAAAGAGAAGAATGAAAAGTTTCAGCTAGTATCATAAACCAGCAGTCAGCCACATTTTCTAGGTGAGCTGGAATGGCTTAGTTTGGTTCAACTGAGGTGTGCCAGCCCTAGTATGAGTGTGCAAAGCAGGCCCTATTTGATTTGGATTTGGTTTCGGCCTGAATCAGGAACAGTGAATCAGATTGTTGATTTGGATCACTATCCCTGATTTGATTCAGCCAAATCTGAAGATTTGATGCTAATTCAGAGAATCAGTGATTCGGATATTGACACAGCTTTAAAAGTTTTTTCTACGTACCTTGAGGTAGCAGGCAGCACTCATGATTGTTGTGATGCTGGGGCACATGAAGCATCCCACAGGAGTGCAGCTGCGGGGGGACGACCTTCCACGTGCTCGGCATTGAACCCAGAAGTGGACCCAAAGTAGTTCCGGTCCACTTCTGGGTCTGCTGGGGAGCATGCTGCCCCCCCCACCTCCCTGAATTGGTGATTGGCCACAGGGGGACCCCAGGTGCCCCACCTCCCCCCAGACCCAGGAGGCACCAGTCACTGAGTTGGTAGGGTGTGGGAGGCACCCCATGCGTTCTCCGGTACACCCAAAAGTGGACCAGAAGTGCTTCTAGTCCACTTCTGGGTCTGCTGCCAAGCGCACTGGGGAGCCACCTGTGCTTTTGTGGGACACTCCATGCGCCCCAGCATCGCAGCATTAATGAGCCTCTGCTACCTAGACGTACGTAGAAAAAACATTTAAAGCTGTCTGTATGTCCGAATCACTGAATCTTTCCAAATCGATTTGGAGGGTTTCAATTAGATTCAGAAAGGTTGAAGGGTCCTCTGATTCGATTCAGATTCAGAGATTTGGCCACCAAATCAGGCCGAATCTCCACCGAATCGAATCAGGGACCGAAGCTTCACACAGCCCTAGGCCCTAGAACCTGAATATTGCCACTGCTGCTGTCAGCATTTCTCTGCATGCAGCATAGCGCAGCAGTGGTGCAGGTTAAGCCTCTGCTGCTGAATTCTGCTGAAGCCCCAGATCGATGGCCCAGATCCAATGGTTCCATGGGCTGATCTGATCTGCAGGCTGTAGATTGCCAATCCCTATCTAAACAGTTAATCTAAAAAATAAAAAATAAAAATCCTACAATAGTGCAATATTCACTTAGTGGAAAAATTACCCTAAAGCTCGCTCTTCATAGGAGTGCAAATGCATTCAAGTCCATTAAATGATCTTAAAATTATACCTTGGTATTATTTTCAAAGCATTGGACTCACTGTGGATTGTAAACTTTAGTACAAGTCTGTTTTGCTATGCAAGATGGTTACATCTCCTTCCTTCCCTCCCCCCCCTCGCCCCATCATATCTAATTTGGACTAATCTGATTTCCTAATTCCCCATGCCTGGAACCAAGTTTTTCCCATTGGTCTGGCCTCTTCTATGAGTGAAATAGAATTTTAAAAATCCCTTTTAAACATTGTATGAAACTTCACATCTTTTAATGAGTCCAGCTGTATCTCGTCTACTTTTCCTCTTCAAGCAAATTAAATACTATCATGAACAATATTCATCTACTCCCAGGACTATGTATTTGAATAATTTGGAGTTTGAGATGGAAATACACTATTGGGTAACTCTAATTCTGTTTATTATGATCTGATGTTGTAGATTTTGCACCTTGGGTCCTCTAGCCAACCAGGTCCTACTTGGAAAGACAACATATCCATCCAGTACTATTTACTGTGATTTATACTTCTTTTGCTCATTCATAGTTTTGAATGTTTTAGTACAGCTACTATGTACACGTATTGAGCTTATAACTGTATTTCCTGTAACTGCAGTGAATTGCATGCAAAATTTCTAATGATGGTTTCCTATAGTTGATATCTTATGTGATAGACATCGGGGCATGGTCCTATTTAAATTAACAGGGCATTTCTGATAGTTGCAATATGGGTAATTACCATTTAAGTTAATTATATTTATATTTACAACATGTGCCCATTGCCTATGCCTTTGGGTGCATTTACTTCATTAAGATGTACTTACAATCAGTATTAAGCATCTGCTGCTGATAACTGGTAACATCCAAACAAATTTCTCAAATCTTGTGTTTACATTGAGTAACATGTTGGCCAATGACTGATATCTTTCTATCGCAAGAAACACAGTTACCCAACCAGAAGACAGCTTTTGGATGTAAAAAGGGAGAAAAACAGTGCTGTTTCTAGCTTCAGTTCAGTGCTGGAACTGGAGTTTAAATCCTATTGTAAGTTCCATTTTCAAAGATAAGCACATTGCTTAAGTGGTTTACTGACTAGGAATGCTTTCCTAAGTTGGGACCTCTGTGTATAGTTATAAAATCTATGTATAGAAACAGCAGCGCTGCAAACATGTTACTTCACTGACATAACTAATGTGTTAAGCACCAGATCTTGAAAAGTATGTTGCTCCTGTTCTCAGTGGGAACTGCTGACTGCTGAGCAACTTGGAAAATGTGGACCTGAAAGCTTAATCATTTCTCAACCTTCCATTGCCCTTGTATTCTGAGCCCTTGTTTGTTTGCTTTTTTTGTTGTTGTTCACAACTGTAAGCATTTGGGTTCAGATGCACAAAGGGACTTGTGTGTGGTGATGCTAAGTGTACCTAGGCTTTATGCCCCTGGCACCAGAAGTGCAATCCACCACCCTGACTAGGCCCCCCAGCTCCCTATATAATGAAAAGGGAAGGTTAAGTGCCTAAGAATGGGATTTTTAACAGCCAACATGCTGAGCCAATCAGCAGAAATAGCAAAGAGAAGTGTGTGTCTTAATTCCCTCCCCTTTACTAGAATTAGGTTGTTTAATCCTGAGTTAGGCACTTATGTGAGGCTATGTGACAATGGGACTCACACGCTGAAACCATATGGCAGCCAAATAAGGCCTTTGGGTACATATACTTATTGTTTTCTTCTAAAATGGTGGTGGTGGTACTGCTTCTACCATTTCCCATCATTTATGTAATTGTCTAGTGCTTATTGAATTCACCCAAGATATAAAAGAGTCTATGTTGTATGTCTAAGGGGAATTAAATCTTCTACATACTGTGCTGAAAGTAAGGCTGGTACTCTCCACCTTTCCAGTTGAAGCTGTTCCACTGTGCAGCCAAGAATGCAAGATTTGTGAGGCCAGAGAGAAAGCAAGAAGTAACATGATTATGTAGCTAATGGCTTTCTCCTGGGAAGGAGGAAATCTGGGTTCTGGTTCATATTCTCAGTGCTGCTTAGGGCTTTTATCTAATGACTGTTTAATGCAAAATGCATGTGCAGTCTCTGGAGCAGGGACCATAATCCAAAACTCCCCACTGAAACAAGTTCTCTAGTCAGTAAGGGCATTTATAGACATGCTTCAGGAGTGGGGAGAGGAAGGCTTTAATTGGAGTGGCTCTGAGCTGCTCTAATTAAAGCGCCTGAAGGATCATGTGTATCAGCATCCCCACGCTGAAAAATCATGATGGGGTGCTTTAACTAAAGTTTGTTAAATGAGCTTTAGTTAAAGAGCCCCTGCCATCATTTTTCAGAACAGGGACACTGATACACGTGGTGCTGGTGTCTGCTGCATCATGGTAATTACATCACATTGGAGCAGCCTTGCTGCACATGTATAAGTGCCCTATGCTGTTATATAAATGGTGGGTGACACCACTACTTTCTCCTTGTCTTCTGTTGGATAATTTTTAAATGAAAATGGTTTTGCATGCTATGCTTTGTACTAAGTTGCTTCCTGTCAGGGCATGCAAAGCCTGTTCAGAGCATACCCACTGAAACAGGCTCCTCAGGGGGCCTAGATAGAGGGACATCTCCTTTGTGGATCCCAAATGATCTTAAGCAGGAAACATGACCTGGAATTCTTAGCTTTTCCACAGTGGGTTGTGGAATTAACTGCCTATATTCTGCCTGGGTTGTAGTCTATGCACTCAAGTCATTTTGTTTTGTTTTTATATTATCCATTATGGCTTCCTGAATCTAGAAGGAAATAATATATATTCTGTGCCCTTGTCCTTACCCATGCCTACAGCCCTTCCTCCCCATAAGTATTCAGAAAGAATTGTACTTCAGCTACCTTCTTTCTGTATACTTAAGTCAAAGCATTGTAGTCAATGTGCTGTATCACCTGGCCAATATCAGTGGGTGAGTCTTTAATCCAGGGGTGGGCAATTATTTCCGCTGATGGAGTTTTGGTGAGCTGTCAAGGTCGACATGGGTAGCCCCACCCCTTGACAGTTGCCCCGCCCCTGATTGCCATATTGGGACTTGATGTCCTGCCCCTTAACCCCTAACCTTTGCCACTGGAAGTCCCTCACTGTTCCCTGGAAGTACTCCTTTTGGGAGGGAGGGTGCTGCAATCCTGAAACCATATAAAAAAAAATAAAACATCTAATATAACTTACAACTTATTATAATTTTATTTTAAAATATTTTTGTACTGATTTATATGTTTGTAAAGCGTATCTAGAAGTGATAACATAATAGCTCAAAATAAAATCCTACTGTATATTGTGTATGGATGGTAAGGGAGTATGTAGTGGGGTGTGGTTGGGGTGTGTGGTGGGGTGAGGGTACGGTGGGTAGATGTGGATGGGTGTGGGGTATGTGGTTGGGGTAGGAGCTATGGGAGGGTATGGGGTTATGGTGGGCAGCGTGAGAGAGAGAGAGAGAGAGAGGCCAGGCCACTGGCTCCATTATGTGCACCTTTTCCTGACAGCATGTGAGCCTCACGCAATGCAGCCAAGCAGACCCCATGTCCAGGCTTCGTGCTCCTGCCATTGCACTCTGAGTCCCCACTGGCCCCAAGGCATGAACACAGGCTCCATACTCCCACCCACCGCCACCACTCCCCCGCTGTTTCCCTGGTTTTCCTCCCACACGACTGCCTGCTACTGCTTCCCAGGCACCACCACTCCCCCCACTGTCGTCGCTCCCCACTGCTTTCCTTTCTGTGTCCCCCATGCCACTCCCCCTGCTACTGCTACTTCCCCCAACCCCTCCACCACACCCTGCCATTTTCCATGGCCCCCATGCTGCTGCCCAGTCA